CCCCTCTGAGGGATCAAAAGGCTCGCATAGGTCAGATCTGTCACCAAGGCACTGGGATTGAGTAGCATACCTTTGGGTACTACTGAGCCTGATTTTCCTCGGCTTGTTGCTATCGCCCAGCGGTTTCACCGACAGGACAAAAGATGATAATTGCTTGCTCATCAGGTGACTGAGCTCGATCATCTATTGATTGGTAGTTTACTTTGATTAGTTCCTTGAATTAAGAATTGACTCACCAGAACTTCGGGTTAATTTAATTCTGAACTTCTTTAGAAAGAACCTGTATGTAAAGGTTTCGCATCTTGAAAAGTTTAGCCTAAAATTTTCAAGTTGGTTGTTTGTGTTCATCTTCTCAGTCTAGCCTAAACATTCCTTGTTCCTTTATGGCTTCTCATTGTCTCCTTTGTGTACTTCTATCTTAGCAAACAATTATTTTCAGGTTTCCTTCAGTTTAAAGGTAGTTTTGTCGTCAGCCAAAATAACTCAAAATACCTTGATTGACCTCCTTTAAATCTGTACTTAATTTGGGCAAAACAAAGCTAAAAAGTGAAACAGTTTACAACTATGCCGACCTAGCTTTGTGATGCATAGAGTTTATTTAGTTGTCAGAGAGTATCGAGGACGCTTCAAGGCATAAGTCTGATTGTCCATGTTGCTTTTGTTTTATTTCGCAGGGATATATTTCCTAGTACTGAAACGTTTGATTCCTTATTTCAGAATAACGAAAATGAATCGTCTCTCTCTGGCTTACACAGATAATTTTGTATCCCTGAATTAATTCGACTTGCCAACGACGGTGAGACAAACCCAGGCCCAGTTGTGACTGACTTTGATGTCAGGAAAATTGGCAATTTTGCAATCTGAACAAGCTTGCAATAATCTGTCTTGAGCTGTTCTTTAAAGTCTCGCTGTCTGTAAATAAATCCGGTGTAGCAGTTGGGTCATATTCATATATGCATTGTTCAAGTTTCAAGTAAAACGACGAACGATCACTACAAAACCTCTATTCTTAATAAAGTATTGTGCATGTACACACTGCGTACCTATTTTTTAAAAACTGACGCGAGTTGTGCAAACCCTGAGACAGCATCAAATCAAAATGGCCGCGCGAGCAAATGTCGCGCACGATCGCCTGTCTTTGTGAAGGTGGAGGGCGGAAAGCAGAGCTAAACTGGAAACACTTACAGAGAGCTATTTGAGGCAACTTTTTCGCTTGGTTGTCACATGAACTCGTTCATAGCCGAATTTTGCAGTTTCATATGGATCGCCTCCTTCATTTTTTCTAAGCTTCCCCAGGTTCTTGATCAATAATATTGACAACCTTCCAGTCGATCTTATGACCAGAACTGATGTTTCCAAACACCAGATGTTTGATTTTTGATAAATAAACGCCGTGCGTTAAACGGTCGAAAGCTTCAACTTGCATAATTTTTGACTTTGTCGGTTAGAAATGTTGTTTGAGTAGTCGTCCTGAAAGGTCAAGAATCAGCAACAACTGCTTCATTGGGTCTTGAAAAAATTAATTTTGAGTTTTTTATCATAACGGTTATTTTTTACTAGAATTAATTATATCGGATTGTGCTAGAGATTCACTTGGCTCCAGAGGGTCTCGCAATGCCTTTGAGGTAAACTATAGAAAACAAAAAATTGCACTATATATTTGTATTTTTTTTTTTCAATTTCCTTTTCATGATGCAAAAAAATTAATGTCAAATTTGAGTTGTTTTAGGTAATAGGATATGCTTCGCATTTTAGAGGATTTGTTCATCGCTTTTATATTTCTTTGCCATTTTATAACCATTATCCTGAGTGAGAACTACTTAAGTAGTTATTACTGAACTATAATTTCAGGAAGAGTACTTTATATTTAAAGAGGCTTGTTTCCTTAACTCTCTAGATGGGAGAGGCTGTTCCTCCATATTATGAACATGACCAAAAAAAGCGCATATGTTTTTGCAACGTAAATGAACCTTAACGACTTTAAAGTTTCAAGTATCTAAAACAGGATTATTATCAAATGGTCTTGAATGAGCACAAAGTAATCGGAAGCGAAAGTCTTAGCTAAGCAGATTTATTAAAGAAATATCACTCGTGGTTACATTAAAGGATAGATCATTCTTCTAGAAAATTAACAATGCTGAAATTACACAATCGGTAACCTAACTCTATTTTCTACTGAATTACACGTTTTTGTACGCTTAAATGTTAACAGCTTTGGATGCTTAACGAAGGAAAGCTACAAGAACGCAGCCCAGAAGCATGATGGCGCTGACCATTGGTACTTTGGCTCCATTGCACAAATCGCCAGAGCAGCAGTTAATGTCGCACTTGGTGACAGAGACTTTGGGATCAGGAGACTTGCAAAAGACAGACTCATCAGCATTGCATGTAGATGGAAAACTGCAGCCTTTAGCGTAGGCTGAGATGGATACTTCACCTTGTTTTCCTGTCACAAGGGCTTTCGCACAGCGGTCTGCACCAGGAACACAAGTAACCTCTGTTTTGATCTTATCACAGTCATCCCAGTCTTTGAGAGTGACACACTGGTAGCATTTCAGGCCATATCCTGCAAAACATAATAAAGCATTATAAAGTGCTGTCTTCCGACACAAGTATGTCTCAAGCACAGAGTCATTGAAAATACGAACACGCCAGGGAGGGAGGGAGGGGAGATGGGGGACGGTTTTAGTTTTGGCAGATAGGAAAAAAGCAGAAAGGAGAAAAATATCCCTGGGTTAGCTTCGGGGCAAGCATTAACTGCTCTCAACTGTCAGAAGTTTACTAAAGTATTACTAACACGTTTGTGTCACTATGTCTGAATATTTGCATAAATCGCCACATCTATAAACTGAGTTAAAATTCGCAACTGGATAAAAGAAATAGGTCCGCACTGCGTACTTGTGTGGGCGTTGCGTACGGTTTGCTTTTTTGAATTTTACAGATAGATAGAGTGCTGCTCCTGCTCGTTTTTGATGGAGTGCTGCTCCTTCCCCCAGGGAAGCAGGGAGCAGCACTTTTCTTGTAAAGAAAACCAGATGCTGAAAGCAAGAACCTGAGAGGCGTGAATTGATCCTTGTCGAGCTCACTAAAGCACTTATCCTTGTCAACTCTATTTAACACTTTTCAAAGGCAAGCTTTTTAAACTCATTTTAAAAGACAGCGACATTTGAGCAAACACAGTTGGAGTAATTTGAGGATTTTTTTTATAAATACTGTTTTAATTATTTGGAGTAGTATTCTTATCTTAAACTTAAATAATCCCTCTACAATATTTGGATTGAAATTCAATGTGTTAGGATAGAACGATATCAAGGCAAGTGTTTTACCTCAAAGTTTGTTGAAACAAAAGGTAGTAATTCTGGAAGCCACTCGCAAGTAATTTTAAATAG